AGCCTAGCTCCACTTCTCAGAACTGTGTGGCCTTAGGACAGTCATTTCTCCTGTCTGGGCATGTTTCCTCCTGTGTAAAATGGACACAATTAGAAGACCAGCAGGAAAGGGAGTTAGAAGCCCTTAACAGAGAGCGCCTAGAGTTCTTAGGTGCTTAATGCACAGAATTTGTCACATAAGAAACAATAATTATGACAGATAATGCAGGTAATTTGATAAATAGAAAAACCTTGAAGTGCTCAGGGGAAGGCATGGGGAAAACCCTTCACCCAGGAGGGAAGGAGGCGCCTGAGGGATCCAGAGTTCAAAAGTGGAAAATGGAACAACTGTGATCCCCAGGGGCTGTGTCTCCTCCACTCACAAAACTGAAGTGGGGTGTGTCTTCCTGTGCAGATAAGGGTCAGGAGAACAAAGCCTGCTATTAATTAAGTCTTGCCTATTTTAAGTTTGTGGAATATCCCCCCCTTAAAGATAAGCTTAAGATAAAAGTTCAAAAGGTAAACACGGTGAGAAGGTGAAGGCCAGCCCAGCCTATGCTCAGCTCTCCCTGCCAGCCCTTGCACATGGAGGTGGGTGGTCAGTGCCAAAGCCAAGTGTCCTGGCCCTGGGCCTCATGTAGCCAGCCAGCAGGGTGACCAGGGGCACCTTAAGAGGTGCCCAGTGGTCCTGGGCAGCTAGAGTAGAACTTCACAGAGAGGAAGAATGGGCTTGCTTTCTCTTCTGTGAGGATGTGCGTCACAGGGAAGAAGCCAGTCAGGCCTAAGACTCCTGAGACAAGGGCGGAGAAGTAAGCACCTTCCCATCTGGGTGGCCTTGGACAAATCACTTCCTTTCTGAACCTCAGTTTCCTTACCTGTACTTGAAGTGATGGCAACTTTCAGTCGCTGAGGGGGGGGATGAAGGTCATATAGATTGAATAGCCCACAGCCACTGTAAGCTACACCAGGTAGTCTTATTATCTCCTTGATAGTGTCTCCCACTCTTTTCACTAGAGTAAGGACACCCTTTTAGACTCAGGAAACTGGGGGACGGTCTTTGTTCTAGGTGGATGTTTGGCAACTCACATCCCCTCTCTGAACTTCAGTTTCGTCCTCTGTAAAATGGGGTAGTGGTAAAGATGGGCTGAGAGGAAGAATAAGAAAGACTTAACACATCCCCAACAATACCACAAGAATAAATAAAGCAACTGCTTAGCCTTTCGCTTTCTTTTCCCTAGGGTGAGCAAAGCTGGGAAGCAACAAGAAAAAACATGACAGTTAGTACTGGCTTCTTGGATTGTCTGTTTACTGTCCTTTTAGCTCATGGGAGCAGAGGGAGACCTGAGCAGGAGGGAGGGACACCAGGGTCGGGACCGGAACCCTTACTACCCTTGAAGCCAACCATTGCAAATGACAGCCACCCCACAGGGGGTAAAGTCTCAGCACTATGAAGCTATCACCAGCACTGCAACACAAATTCGATCCCTGGCCAGGGAGCTGACCCACATGCTGCAGCAGACTTCACCTATCTTGCCTGCTGCTCCCCTAGCAGTGTATTTCAGTAAATTCACCTGTTCTGCTCCCCATTCTGTCTCTGATGCATTCTCTCACCCCCACAGCTCTGGGCTGTGCCCCAGTTCTTGTATGCATAAATAAATTAAATTTATTTTAAAAATTTTTAAAAGATTTATTTATTTGTGCATACAGAACTGGAGTACAGGCCAGAGACTCAGGGGTGGTGAAAGACTTCATCAGAGACAGAGTAGGGAGCAGAACAGGCAGATCAATGAAGTACACTGCTGAGGGGAACAGAGGGCGGGTCAAGAGAGGTCTGTCACGCCATGTGGTCACCTCCGGGGCAGGCGGGAATCGAACTCATGCGGAAGTGGCTTTAGCTTCTTAGTGCTGTGCTTTAACCGGCTGCGCCACCAGGGAGGGCCTATTTAAAATTTTTAAGAGGAATGAGAAGGCTCCAAGTAGTCAGTGCAAGGAAAGGCATTCTAGGCAGAGGAAATGGCACCTGTGAGGCCTCGCCTAGGCCCTCTTAGACATGCGTGGATGACTTCTTCACAACACCTATCAAGTCGGCCAAGTAGGCGTAATCATTGGAGCCCTTAGTTAACAAGGCTCAAAGAGGAAAAGGGCTTGCCTGGAGATACCCATCTTATCCACATCCTTCCCCGAACTCCAGTGCAACACAGACCGGGGATGAGAACCCCATTCATGTAGCTACCGAAGTCCATGCCTCAGTCATCTCTCCAGGAAAGACAGGCATCAGCGACAGCCTGACAGCAAGCGGCAGGCACCTCCAAAGGGGTGACGGGATAACCTGGCTCTTACCCACATTGCTATAGGGATATTTCCCAGTAACCTGAGCCCCAGGCACAGCTGACAGGACCCAGGCCACCTTGCGGGATCGTGGTGGGGCAGCCGTTCACTCCCTGATCACCCAGCCAGATCCCAGATTTAGTCTGTGATTATCTTGTCACTTGTCACTGTGAGAGGTTCCACCACAGTCATTAAAGAATGTCACGGCTGGCTTTCCCTTTCCCATTACTTGACAGGGAATCATGGAGGCTGAAGACACAGGGGAGAGAGGGGTAGGGAAATGCCGGATGACAATGCACTAATGACAACAGCAAAAGCGGTTAGAGTGCTTACGTGAAACAGGCGCTGCTCTACAGGCTTCAATTATACTAATTGCTTAATCTTCAAATGTTTTATCACCCCTGTTTGGCAGAGGAGGAAACTGACACCCAGAGGGTCTCATAGGTTATCTGCCATGACAGTAGCTGATAAGAGGCAGAGCTGGGATTCAAACCCATGTAGCCAGCTCCTGAGCCCATATATATATTTTTTAACTCTTCTACTGTAAAAGATGGGGGCCGGGGTGTTCTGTTATGGAATAGAATGCCTGGTTTTCTTTCTTGACCGCACTGGTACCAGGAAGCTTCCCTCCTTCCTCAAGTGCCCTGAATTGTGCTCCACCTTCTGGACAGAGCTGTCCCCAAGGCGAACCTTTATAAGCACCAGGGTTTCCACTGCATGGGCCTGGGGCCCACAAGAAAGCAGCTCCTCAGAGGCCCCACTGAGCCTCTCCACACCCCAGAATCGTGGGATTCTGCCCCATCCCTGCCTGCCCCTCTATTCCTCCCTCTACCCAGTACACCAGGGAGGCGGGGTAATGCCTCCTTTCCCAAAGGAGCCACACTCTCCCATACTTCCAGGCTGTTCTCTCAGCCCTCCTCCTCCTCTGATCCTCGGGCTCCAACCCAGGGTCCTTCAGTCCTAGCCAGCCTGGCCTTTCCACCCCACCCCACCCTGTCAGGTTGGATTGGGCGCCTCACTGCTCTTCAACAGTCTCGTAAATAATCTAGGAAGCATCACTTCTCCCCTACCTACACTAGTCTGTTCTCTTACCTGTTTCCCCTTCTGGAGTCCAGATGTCTCGAAGACAGGAACCCTGGCAATAGTAAGTGCTCAATAAATATCAGTTGCGTGCATGAATGAGTAAATGAATTGGAGTTACAGGTCACATGGAGACAAAAATACAGGTTCAAATGAAGACCTTTCAGACGCCAAACCCTCCTCTGAGACGACACGCTTAAAGCTCCCTTCCAGGGGATAGTAAAGCAGTGGTGGGGGCCAGAGCTGAGTTAATACGAGCAGCAGGGTGCAGGCGGGCCTCACAGGGCATGGAGCCAAGAGCTTAGTCTCAGAATTGGATTACTAGCGCAAATTTGGAGTTCCCAGCCCCTGGCCTCAGGGACACGGGGATTACCCAGGCTTCAGGCCAGAGCCCACACTCCTTCCCACATTCTCTGCCAGGTCTGAGAACAAGGATCCTTCCTCTGCGTGGCATGTGGGCAGGGGCTTCTCCATCCACCTCCCAGTTCCAGCCTCCGGTCCGCAGCCCCTCCCGCCCTGCCAGCCTGGCAGCACACCTGCCTCCCACGCACCTGAGTTTTACAGCCATATCATTAAATCGTGGCCCCAGGATTGGCAGGCATCCACATCCCCTGGGAGTTTGTTAGCGATGACAATTCATGAGCCCCTCCCACAACACAAAGTCAGAGTCACTGGGATGAGACCCAGACTGCCGCTTAACAAAACAAGCGCCAGGTGATTCTTATATGCAAATTAAAGTCTGAGACCCACTGACTTGCAGTGCTCAGCCCATCCCACACCACTGTCTGGTGATGCCCCAAGCCTGCCAAAGACACTAGGCAATGTCTGCCCACAACCTCAGCCCTCTGGCCTCCTTCCCCCCTTCACTTACAGAAATTAATCACAATGATTACAGTGGATCCCAGTTGAGCTCTTCACAAAGCACAGTTCCACAGCAGTTTGGGAACAGCGGCCCCTGGAGGTATGCAAGGCACCAGAACACTACCGTCCCCATTTGGCACAGGAAGAGGCCAAAGTTCAGAGAGGGGACATGACCAGCCCAAAGTCACACAGCAAGTAAACCCACACGCTAATACTCTGCCATCCTGCTTGTCCCTCAACAGACAGGATAACAGCTGTGTCCAATCTGACCCCTCACACACACTGGGATTCCCTCCAGGGCAAAACCCTTGTCATCACGTCTTCAAGCGCACCTGTTCTGACCTCCCCAGAGAAGCCCGGGCCTCCTTGCCGCTACTGCAGGTCCCTGTGTGTTTCCTTAGTAGCAGTCCCACAATTTGCAATCATATGTGGATGTGATTACTTCAAGGCTGACTGCCTGAACAGTAAGAAAGCACCAGATGACAGGTAGCCTGCTTGGGGCTCAGCCACTGACCATTTTCTTACTACTTTTGCATGGGACTGCCATGTGGCCAGTTAAACTACCTTCAGGTAGAGGTACTGGGTTCTGGCTCCTTTGATGAGAGTAGAAGCGGCTGGGTCTGTAATGGGCACACAATAAATGCATGCTGAACGCAGGAGTGTCCAGCCAGCTCTGGGCGTGTGGCTGGTACTCAGGAAATGTGTCATCTACCCACCCAGAGAAACAAAGACCCCCCCACTGCCGCCTTTCCTTTGGAAATATTTTATTGGTTCTGAGATAACAGGGCTGAGGCGAGCTGGGGCGGGCAGAGAGCTAAGGAGAGCGATGCTTTGCCCCAGGGCACACATGCTGTGTGGGGTCTGCTGGCGGCCCCCGGCCCACCCAGCCAGCAGCGGCTGGGTCCATGGCACTTGGCGCCTGGCATGGCCTCTGCCGGCTTGGCACGGTGGCGTCCTCATGGGCGGGCGCCCCCCTTTCCAGTTGCAGGAGTTGTGAGTCTTTCACAGTGCGGAGGGGTGGGGGTCCGGGGTGGGCACCTCCCAGGGGTGCAGGCAGGCCCCATCCGCCAGTACATCCTGGGCGCTCGGTGTCTCCGGCAGGGTGAGGTGAGCCTGGGCTCCGCTTCTCCCCGCCTGCGGGGGCTTGGCAGTCCTGGAGGGGCCCTCGCGGCCTCAGCGGGACATCATTCGCACAAACTCTGGGAGGGGCAGGAGTGAGGAAAGAGCAGCAGTCAGGGCCCAGCTCACACGCTGCCTCCAAGGCACCCTGAGCCCTGTGGTCCCCTCTGCACAGCGCAGCTGAGACCAGACGACTGTCCTCCACCTCCGACAGCCCTTTCAGTCCAGGCTCCATGTAGCAGTTAGCACCGGGGCCCTAAGCCACATGTCTGCCCCTCTCAAGCTCCCACAGCTCCCCACTAGAAAATGCCCAACGCCAGCCACAGCCGCATGGGCCTCCCTGTCAGCCCAGCCCAGCTGCCTTCTCCCGCCTCTTCTCTCACCCCTCACCTCCAGTCTCTGCTCTGGCTACACACATCCCCTTTCCTGGCTCAGGTGCCTCTCTCTCTGCCTCCACCCTCCCTCTCTTCCTCCCTCCCTTTCTTTCTCTCAGTCTCCCTGAAACTTCTCTGTCTTATTTTTTCAACGAGACCATTTCTTAGAACATTTTTTACAGCAA